GGAAACATTACTTTGCGTGGCTTGATTATTCACTCTAACACATACACCAAAAGAAGAAAATTGCAGTTCAAAATTGCTTCAAACTTATTCTAAGCTTTCTCTGTCTACTAACCACAGCAAATTTTGCTAACAAATGAAAGACTTTATCATGTCAATGGGTTAAATCTTTTATGAACAGTAATATTTCATTTTATAAAAGACAAGTTATAAATGCATTGGATGTTCAAGCACAACATTTGGTATTGACATTGATTTTTTTATTCTTTAAAATTACTCCTTGCTCCTTACTCCAGTCCTAGAAAGTGTATTGCAGTGCACCGAAGATCAATGAATCCAGTATGGACAGCCTGACTCACTATTGGGGTCCGGGGGGTTGTAAGAGTTCTTTCTCCTAGGTGAACTGCCTTTCAGGGATTATGAGCTAACCAGAGCACTTTGTTTTAAGTACCAGACACTTGTCTACAGTGATCAGTTGAATCTAGACTGATGGGTTTCAACAAGTTCTTTGACTGAAGGAGGAGGGACAGGGGTTATGTTAGGAGCAATTTGCCTTCGGTCATCAGTTGCAATACCAATCCCCATACCTAAAGAAGACTTATAATTAGTTTTATTCCTGTTTAAATGCACATTAGTGCCTGCTGACCAAAGTGTTTTAAAAAATGGCTTTTTTCAAGTCACATTTTGATTTTGTTAATGTTCATGCAAATCAAAATTTGGCTTTCCAAAAAGCCATTTAAGTGCTCTTAAAACACATCAATCAGCAGGTGCTACAGTGCCCTTAACATGCCTACAGAATGATCAAAATAATTAAGTTTGAAAAGGTGATATAAAGAATATGGAATTTCATAATGAAAAGAAAACTAAAAGTCACTTTTTTTCTCACTAGGATTCAGGAAAGCATAAAATGTTATACATATCTTCATTATAAGTTGTAGGATGTATTTGTACTGTTTAGGAGAATCTTTAAGAATCTTTATGTGGCTCCGTTGCTGTTTCCCCTTGCTGAACATATACTGGCAATGGCTCATGTCTGCATTGTATTGTTTCATCTGGCTGCTGATCTGTCTTGGTTTCCACAGCGCTATAATATAAGTGCACAATAAAGTTTTGTAATGAGGAAATATAACAGCATTAACATAACTGAAATATCCAGGGATATGTGTTATGTGCTTACCACAATTAAATCCGTCTTGATGTTTCGTATCAGGCTCGATCAGCAGAGTATTCGCGAACGCTCGTCACTTTTTTATTCCAGCTTCAGTTTTGAAATGATTTCACCGACCAATAGCATCATTAAAGTACATTTTCGTTGCATACCTTTTCGCGAAATGTTCGTTTCATTTCCTGGTTTGGTTTTGGCGACCAGCATTAGAAGGATTTGTCTTTGAAGTGGACGGCTGTCACGGCTCTATTATAGAACTCTTGCGAATCGGCCATTTTGAGCGCGCATATCCGAATAAGGACTGGGGAGAAACCAAATCAAAACAAGTGTGCTCACATTTGTTTACATTTTTGACACATGCGCAGAAGGGACTGTAATCTAGCTTTAAGCTTCCGCTGAAGAATGTTAACTATATATTATGCATTACCATGGTATTGAATTGTATAGCTCAAATATCAAACGCCCGAGGAATGCCGAAGTATATGCGCGCGTCTCCCAGTACAGCCAAGCTGTACTCGGATCAAGCGTGAAACAGCTGTTCGTTAAATAAAGCCATTGGAGTCTGTGACGTAAGCTACCCATTAGGCCATGGGAATGAAAGTCATAGATTTGCGTCCGGATAATTTTGAAAAAACAAGCGGGGTTTTTTCATTATTCATTATTCTTTTACCATTCTTTTGGGTGGTAAATACAGAGATCAAAACACGAATTACCGTTTACGCCACGGAATTACATATATCTCGAGCTCACGCAGTTGCAGTACTGAAGATCTGTGTGCCAATTTCGCCATTTCGGTGAATATAATTTTGAATTTCATAGAATGTGGATACTGAGGACAAACACACTGCAATATGTTCATTTTATTGTAATCAAACACAATTTTATTGCTAATTTTATTGAGTTTTGCTTTATTTGTGAAAATAATGATTTTTTTTGTAAATAATGAAAATTTTAGGCGGTAGCTTTTGAGGCATGCGGGCGGTGGACGCAAATCTATGACTTTCATTCCCATGGCCTTAGTAACTAAGAAGCTCATAAACAAAACATGTAGTAAAGCACTTCGTAATTGGCCTGTGCTGCGTAATAAAAATTAATTTTCAGTCATTTGAATTGAGTAATTAATTAAGTCCAACTTCAAATTGAACCGACGTCCATCAAAGGCGGTAAAAGACGTTGGTATAGAACCATATGTGAGCGTTACTTGCTCCAGTGCGTGGATCACTGATTAAGCTTCCAGTAAAGAAAGTTCAAGCCATTGACCGATTCGAAAACCAGATACCATCATTTTACATTAATTATACTTTATGCATTACCACGCTAACAAAATTTTTTTCAACAGAGACTGTTATAAGGCAAAGTGTAAAAGTTTAAATAAAAAATTGAAAACAATCCATGCAAGCGAAATTATAGCCCTTTAAAATGTATACAACAAGCATCAAAACGAGGCTATAGTCAGGCTAGTTGCTAAATCTGGCATAAACGTCGGATTTTTAACATTTAATGTCTGAAAGAGAATAGATGGAATTATATTTATATTTTGTAAAACTGTTAGTCTTGAAGTGTTCTATATAGAGGTTCATTTGAGTTCCACTACCGCTACCTCAAACTGGCTTAGTACGCATCTGATTGGTTAATCGAATATATCAATACGCATCTGATTGGTTAATGGTCCCTTAATGGTAGCGGAAGTCAAATCTGAGCCTCTATTATAAGGTGGCAGTGACTACCTTGATTGAAATAATTTTGGGAAGAAAGAATGACAACTATTTTTCGAATCGGTTTATGGATTGCAGGTATTCTCGTGATTCACTAATGGCGCGCCTGAATGTGTCTCCAATCGTATACAATGGACGAATCCGAACGATGAATAGAACCGATCGATGGACGAAGTATGTCACGGCTAGTAGGCGTCACTCACTGACAAAAATATCGGGCAGGAAGGCCCTGGGTACGAGGTTGGCCTAACTATACCTAACCGATACCCCATACCGATTCACGAAATCTATGATTCGAATCTCCTCGATTGGCATGATTCGTTCGATAGTGTTGGACAACCCTCGTATTCCAGTATACTTGACTCATGTTTACCGTATCTCATTCATTTGTCCATTCAGTTTCCGTGAGTATTGGGGAGGTTCGACCTGTATTCAGAAGTTTGATCATTGGTGACAAAATGTTCCCGCAACTTTTGGATATGCCACGCTTTTCCGAGGTGTTACACTATTCTAGTCTTCGTGCAGGTAGTTGCATTCTCACAATTGCAAATTAACGACAAGATTGCACGCAAGCTAATTCTTAATCTATGTTGTTCAAATTAAAAAAATTGTTGTTCAAATTAAAAGATGAAAATTTCGAGTATAAATTATATACATTTTTACACCTAACCAGGAGCAGCTGCGAAAAATGCCACTATATAGGCCCTCTGGCTAGAATCGAGCCTGCGATTCCGGTGGTAACACCCTAACCAACTGAGGTAAAAAGTCCAGTTGTTCTAAACGGATATTCAAATGTCTGTTGGCTTTTATTCCAAAATTTAGTCGGAAAACTATGATTTTGGACGCCAAAATAAAAATAATGAGTCGCACGGAAGTCATTTAAGTGCTACTTGCGAAAGGAAGCTATCCCTACCAGTAGGGCTGATTTTTCTCATGTAAACAAGCGGTGAAAATTAGCCCTACTGCTAGGGCCAGCCCTCCCGGTAGGGCTCATGTAAACAGCCCTTAAATGTATATGGGTAAATATCAGGATTTTTAGGCATCTTACTCGATAGAACTACAAAAAAACTTTCAAATCACATCACATCTTTATAATTCTACATGACAAATTAAACTATTTCTTGAGTAAAATATCTTAATTTATTGATATTTGTTTTAAGCTGATCTACAAAGATAAGTTCAACTCGTCTTGCTACTTCACTTACTAATTACTATTAAGGGATGCACCAGATACCATATCCGGCGCCGGATAGCGAAATAATCTCATTATCTGGTTACCGGATATTGTTAAATTATAGGTTCAGGCCTTCTTTTCAGGTTATAAATGACGTAATTAATGTAGTTTAATTAAAAAGTGCAAGTATTTATCACATTTTTTACTTGAAATGATCGTGGAGAAGCTGGCAATATTTTTCAAGATTTTTCATGCTCGCTTGCAAATGCGAAAAAAATGTGAAATTGGAACATTTTGAGCTAGGCTTTTCCAACCATGCATGTTGGTCGATGTTGGACTGTGAAGTTCTTTCCTATCATTTCAAGTCAATATATTATAAACACCATCACTTAATGACCAATGGAAATAACTATTTAATCTTGTATGATTAGGCCTGAACCTTTAAACTATCCAGTGTCCAGCCAGATAGTAATATGCTCTATCCGGTGCACCCCTATACTACTCTGCACGTATAATCATCCTATTACTGCTGGAAAATCAAAAAGCAGTTTATGGTTTATATCTTTACAGTAAATACAGTATATACAGTCAACTTCTTTAAGAAATGACCTTTTTGTATTAGTGCTTTCTATCACTGAGCATATTTGTACAGCTCATAGTTTTTTCTTAGCTCATTTGGGCTATCACTATAGGTCTATATATTTCTTGTTTTCATATTGATTGCTGTACTTGCAACCGCTGTCCTGCTGTGAATGTGCGCGTGTTCGTAACTACAATCGTCCGTTCTTGGCATCATCAATCATTCCCCAAATATCAAAAACAAAATCGTCAGGAAACTCAAATTCACCAAAGTTTGTTTCCACAGCTGCTGTGAATTCACTTGGATTCGTTTTGTTCTTTGATAGTTCCACCAGGGTGTCGGCTAACAATGACAAAAAATCCAAACTTAAGCTCTCAGAAAATCAGGAATCGTGAAGTGTCGCAACATCATTCTTTCCTACCCACGTTTCCGAAAGGTGGACAACGAGGAAACATTGTTTCAGGAAACATTGTTTCAGCAAAAAGTCACAATTGGGGAACTAAATACTGTATCCTGTTCGAGCGATCAATGTTAAACATAATGAATTTTAAAATTAAACATTCTTTTTATTACCTCCGCCAGGAGATTATGTTCTCATCCGTGATTGTATGTGTGTCTGTCTGTCTGTTTGTCTGTCTTGCAGAATGATATCTCAAGAACTATCAAACGTATTAATACGACTACTTTGTTGGACTAATGGATATTGCCCAAGGAAAAATTGATTAGTAAATTCTGCTTAAATTGGATTGAAAATTGAATGAGAAATTAGCAAACGTTTGTCTTGCTTTAGCGGGCAGAGTAAACTGAATGCTTAATTAGCCCATTGTATAATTTATGCATGTCTAACTTAATACGTTGAAGGAGGTATGCAGTCTCCGAGTGCCCAGTATAGTATTAATTTGAAACTTATATAAGACTAAGATTGAAAAATACTGAATTTTTAAGGAACATTTTTGTTTCCTGGGAGACAGATTAAAGAGCACTAAAATGTGTGCGCGTTTTCACACTTGCTTTTAATATTAGAACATACCGAGTTCTGCATCCCTTATACCAATAAAACTTTCTAGTAGGTCATCCACTTTCTTGGCAGCATTGATTTCCCAAATTGGTAACTGTAAAAAGTATGTACAATAAATGGTATTAAGGCGCCCTTCTCTTGAAGGTGTCAACCTCAGGCACCGAGTTAGGCACAATATCTTTACAATTTATGTGAAATGTATTTAAGAGCAAATAACACAGCTGCAAAATTAATGTTAAAAAATATAAAGGAATTGATTACAATTACAAAATATTTGCTGTAAATATTTGCTTTTAAATGAAATTTTGAGTATAAATAAACAATTCTGCTGGTCACGTGACAAGCCACGTATTTGCCGTTTGTTGTGAGGTGTGAGGTACGTTGAAACTCGTTTCCATATTCTTACTTGATTATATTTGTTTTTTGGGTTATTACCCCATAAGTACTTTAATTCTGGTAGTTGTAGTTATGTGACGCCATTATAAAAGTGGTCCACTAAGGGTTTCCACGACCACACCTTAATAGTTGTGTTGACACAGTTTACAGTTTTAATTGTCAACCGCTTTAAAATATGCATATTTATTAACTACAGGGTGTATCAAAATAAACGCAATTCATCTTTTGTGCTTAATAGCTTTCGAAATACTATTTCTAGTTAAACGCTTTTAGGCTTACTTCAAAGCCTGTTCTTTTCTCTTTCAAACAAACTATTATCCTTGTCTCCAATGCTAGTAATAATTGCACAGGAAAAGATTTAGTAAAACCTATCATTTTAGTTGCTGTTTAATTATGCAAGTTTACTATGTTATTGTTTAGTCGGTTTAAATGTTAGAATTTTCTTCTTTAAACTTTAATGTTGTCGTCACTACATCTGGAAAACCACGTAAGAACAAATTAAAAGTATTTTAAAAGAGACCAGGTTGTTTGAAAATCCTAAACGAATGCTAAAAATCGTCAAAACATTGTGGTGTCTGAGCCAGAATGTCATCGAATTGCGATGTAATGTAAACAGAAATTATAGCAAGTTGATGTCAGTCAGCTTAGATGGTCGAAGCCAAAATTATATCGCATTTGAAGTTTCAAACTGAGTTAAAAATAGTGGAAGAAAAGCCGTAATTATACTTATTGTTACAATCCATTTAATAAATGCAACATTTTTTTGTTTTAATGAAAAAATCAGTTATTTTCATGAGAACGTTTAGTTATTCCATCTCAATTTTTTTAATCTCCAATCGCAATAACGTAAAGTATTATTACCCGCGAACCAATGAGTCAAATTTAAGAAACAACCCACTGTTAGAAAGCTGAATGGCTACGCTTTAAAATGAATGTAAACTTTAACGTTTCGTCTATTATTTGTTTAGCAATTTACATTTCAGTCGAGGATTGCGCTTTTTTTGATACACCCTGTATATTCCCAAATTTTATTGCTAATTTAGTACTAATTGTCGATTTCTGGTTGCCCGGGGTCTGAGCATCTTTGAAAACTTGGGGGGATTTTTATAGCCTATACAAGGTTTCAGGGTTCTCATTATAGAAGCGGGTCACCGGCGAAGTTCGCCGTCTACTTCCTACATGTTCGCCGTCTACTTTTCTGTGCTTCCGCGCTCGCATACTGTACAATACAACACTCCCTAATACCTTCACCTTGCCGTCTACTTTTTCTGTTCTCCTGCTACTTTATATATCCTAATGAGAACCCTGAAGGTTTCCAATAAAATTTAGAGTAGGAGGTATTTTGAAAGAAGTAGCGGCTATGTGGGTCCGAAGGTATCACTCACTTGAGCAATCCAATGGCGTCTCTCTGTAAGGTTTTAAAAATTTCAGACCATCTGAAATGGCACTTCCATGCATTTTAGAAAGTTCTTTTGAGATTTCATCAAATTATCCACATAGTTATTAATTAAATGACAAATATCGTGTAAAATTTGTCTTTCTCCTGATATTTCTGTGCTGAAGTCTTGAAGAGGAAATATTTTACTCTGCGAAATATTTTAGCCTGTTTTCGCAGCGATTGTCTATGCGGCGATTGTCTATGCTACAGGCGATTGTTTATGTTACAGGCGGTGAAATTCGCCGGGTGACGGCTTCTGTTGGGAACTCTACTATTTGTAGTATTACTACGGGATTTACGTTCATTTACTTGTATTTGGTTGCAGGGAAGAAAGCTGTACATGTTTGAAGTTTAACATCCTGCTTTTAAAGGATGTTAAGTTATATCTAGGAAATGCTAATTGTACTGTACCTCTTCTTCCACTGTGGCAGGTCCTGTAGACCTTAGTCGTAATGTGGCTCGTCCAGTTCCAAGTTTACTGTTGTCTATTTCAGGAGGATTCTTCTGACTTGATTTACCAAAGTTTATTCCTTCTAAAAAATTTAGGAAAAAGACAGGTCATGTGTTGGCATCAACTAAGACAGCAGTTCAATCCAATCACCATCACAATGTAGCAGTCAATTAAATATATGAGTGTCACCATTATACAGTAGGTGGTGTGCAAGCAATCGCCACTAATCGAAGGACATGCAAAGGAATCATCATGTGACGAAAGTTGAATTATCAATAAACAAAGTCCCTTGTGAAATTCACCCAACATGGCGGCGATGCAAATAATTTTTTTTCCCGTAGAAAGTCGGACTCCTCATTGATAGTCGGACACATCGTTCAGCGGATATTCTTCTTATTAGATGCGCTTCCCAGTGTGTCTTGCGCGCGCAATTAGTGATTTCAAAATATTGTATTGCTTTAGTACGATGCCAAAATCTGAGGACATATTGTGGCCTCATATCTTGTGTGGTGATGACATCTGACATATTTTATTAAGTTATATTCGCCATTCCCTTTTGCTTTTCATTGCTTTTTAACTCTTTTTTTTGTAACTCTTTTCTTTGCTTTTGTAACTCTTTGTAAATGCGGTAAGATTCATTGTTTTTGATTTGTGGAAAGTGGTCTTGATGATCGCTTTGAATCTTCCAGTATTTCCTTGCACGCTAGTTATCTTATACTGATTCTCTTCAATAATTGGGATGATATATAGTTTTAACTCGCAATAACAGTTCTTGAGTATTTTCGGAATCAGAAAAACAAGTTTGTAATGTAGATTACACAGGGTATGTAGGGATCGATCGATAACGCGCGGGGGAGGCCTGGACGCGGATCAATGATGCGTCCGACTATCAATGAGGAGTCAGACTGTCTACGGAAAATTGCGGCGGCGATGACATAACTTGAACACCACGACTAAGGGCGCAATTCCAGTCCTCGCACGAAGCTCCTCGCAGCTCGAGTGCATGCATATTTAATTAGATGCAAGCACTCGCACCGGCTGCGAGGAGCTTCGTGCGAGGACTAGAATTGTGCCTTAACGCTTCTTGCTGCACTAATTAGCAGACTTATGCCGCACTAATTACCTTGCGTTTAAAAACTTCCTATGGGATAAATCTAATTAATTATTAATTCTAATTAAATTCTAATTCCGATTTTATTTGTCATAGCCATAGGGGTGAGAGAGGGATGCTCGAAAATTGATGCAGTTTGACAGTAGCTAATTACGACAAGTTTGAAAGAATTTGCCTTGACTCCCACTCACAATTTCTAGCCTTGGTCTAGGATTTTCCTAACCTCTGAGGACAAATCAGTGTGGCGTGTGCTGTCATTGATAGTACCGGTAATTAGAAAACACATGGCTTCGTTTGTGTGTGTAATTTTACAGTGTACATAAGTAGATATTGATTGCAAGATAGTCAACGTCACGAAAACTTGTACTAAATTAACCTCGTTTATGGTTCATAGGTTATGAGCATGTTGGTGTGCTTGGCACATTAGAGTAGTACATGCTCACGCAGTGTTACATATACGTACCAAAGGCCTTGAGTGGCTTAACCAAACCAAACACAATGTCACTGTCAACTGGAATATCTCGCAACTTCCTTGCCACATCATAATGTCGTGATGCAACAACCTTTTCACCATTAATTGACTCTATATGATCCCCAACTTCTATTCGTTTATCTTTTTCTGTGATGCTATTTTCTTTTATTCTTTTTATAAATGCTAGTCCTGCTCCATTGTCTGTGATTGTCAAACCTAAAGCTGGCTCACTTTTTAAAACTTTAACTTCTGTTGGTTCGCCTTTAATATGAGCAAATATGAAGTCATCTAGTGCTATTTGACCTCCAAGTAACTTCTCCATATCCACTTTGTACGAGTTTAATGTGCAAAACAAAATCTACATATGAATAGAAATGACCGTTAATTAAAGACCAACACTTGATGAGTGAAATCGTCAGCAAAAACAAGGACATATTAGTAAGGATTATAGTCTACGCCATAGACTCTATCTCGATTCTTCGAGCAACGGCAAATTATAGTCTATAGAATATAAATTATATTTATAGGAAGCCATTAATGCATATCCCTATAGACAACAGTATCGTCGTGGGACTACTAAAACACGGCTCCCAACTAAGTAATTATTCTTCTCTTTTTGGCTTATATTTCAGACATAAGGGACCTTCACTAGGGGGGGGGGGGGGGCAATATAGTTCACTGGAGAGGTCACAATAGAGGTTGGGGGACTTGCCTCCCCCCAGCAATGTGCAGAGTCTACCAGCTAAGAGCTTTTCACCACCAGTTTTAAAAATTGATTCGCTCAATTACGTTATGTTGCTGATATACAGTAGTGCTATTAAACCGGGGCCAGTTGTACCAGAGGGGTTATACGAAGGTCGGATAGTGATTTTTTCGTACAACGGCCGGTTTTAATATCGCAGGCGCGCATGAAGCTGATGAAGGTTATATCCCCATGTTTTGTCCAGAAATATGTTTCTCTTTGACCTCGATCACAAACCTATCCTTAAACCTATTGTACACTAAATATGAGGAAGCTAACTGGTGCACCCTGAAAAGTGTCTGGCTAATCATGCTTTATCACTTTGGCAAAGAGAAAAAACGTTTTGGTTAAAAGTACTACAATTGTCACCAAAGACATTACCAGTATCATGCAAAAATAACCAATTAATATGACAATTATTTTTTTATATCACACAATTAGAATGTGAGATAATGTATAGTCATCAATCAGAAATCAGAATACAGATCTTGAATCAACCTCGCAAGCCAGGCCTAGGGTCTTTACTGCCACACGGCGCTACAGCAAAGTGCCGTGCGGAGGTAAAGACTCAGCTGGCTTGCGAGGTTGATCTTGAATCTATTTGAATGCGGGGAGAAAGTCACTTCATGCGTGATGTGTGAAAACAAACAAAAATGCGGGAATTTCACGGTAATTGCGGAAAACTTGGAAGGTCTGTAACAGTTTATACACTTTAACTACAGAAGTTGTAATTGCAGTGTAAATTTCTGCAACATGATGAAATCACTATTTTCACCAGACAATTAAGATTAATCAAAGGTAGTGTTATATGGCTGAGCCAAAAGGTGAGGGAAACGAGTACAGCCCAGGAAGAAATGTCTGAAGTGCTGATGGAAATTCTTTTTAGGAAAGTCCTGTACACTATAAGTATAAAATATTTAATTAATACATTTTTTAAAATTTTATGTATAATTTTGGCTGTGGGTTTGGGCTGTTAACGACTGTCCACATGTATAGGTCCATTAAAACATAATCAACTCTATATACTTCAAGGCTTTTAAAAAGCATCCCTGATAGGAACATTAACCCTTAAAGTGGCAATGCACCCAGATGCGCCCTACTTTATTATTTTACTTTGACTAACGCCAGACAATCACTCGTCAATGGGTTAAATAAGTACCACATCATTGGCCATGGCAATTACCAAAAACCAAACTTCAAGCCCTTCCAGTTCTGACCGTTCTACTTAAATTAATTAGCCAAAATAATGTATGAACATATCATTGCATACAAGTACACAATGCCAACATAAAAGTATAGAGTAAAGCAGTTCTGATAAAAAAAAGATTACTGAAAACTTGCTGAAAAAAACATTAAAAAAAACAGTGAATTGATTCTTAATAGTTTAATAATACATGGTTGAAAATTGCACTTGAGTCATGTATTATTAACTACTCAAAATTCACCCTTTTTTAATCTGGCTAATATTTAAACTGTATAAATAAATCAGATTACTAGATTTAGTAGATTACATTGATATAGAAGGAACTAGATTCTGTTCCAAAATATCACATACTCGAACCAACCTGACCGCGTAGCTCAGTTGGCAGAGCATTGGGCTAGTATTCCAAAGGTCGTAGGTTCGATTCCCACCATGGCCAGGCATATTTTTCAAGCTTGCCCGGTGTGGATATACACACTCAGAGTAACATCACAAACATCATATTCACCTGAGTACATTACACCAACCCAGAAAAAATCAGATTGTTGTTTTGTTGCATGTATTGATGTCAATTTTCTATTATTCTTTTGTTTCAATTTAGTACACTTACACAGAAATTTAGCACACAGTTTCAGGAAAAACAAATTATGCTGTATCCAGCCAGATAGTAAATCTGTAAATATCCAGCCAGATACAGGATATTATCACTATGATTTTGCTACTATCCGTCCGGATACTATTAAAATATCTGGTATCCGGCCGGATTTTTTCAGATATCGTCATTATATAGTCTGCGCGCAGGGGAGTATCTGGCCAGATAATAAAAATCACTGTCCCGGGTGCACCCCTATCCGTTGTGAAACTGCAACACAAAGCTGAATAATGAACCAATTAAATATTTAAGACTGTATTTATTACACATGTGTAAGAATTAATATAAAAGACCTTTATATTATTAGGATATCAATAACAAAATAAAGCACTCTAAAGCCAAGATCTTAATCCCAAAAAACAAGGCTAAATAGTGAAAGCTAAGTATTTTTGCAAGGGTCTTGCAAGTGGCAAGGTGAATTACAAACTTAAGACTGAAATTTCAACAAGCTAAAATAATTGACCTACTTGCTACCCACAATATTATAGCCTGTGTAGCTGGCGGTTTTAAGCTGTTGGGGTTGAGGCGCGGGCATTGTTGAGGCGCGGGCATTGTTGAGGCGCGGCATTGTTGAGGCGCGGTTGGGCTGATTTATAACAAATATGTAAGAAACACATCATCTGTCTGACAGATCATCTTTCTTAGTGTTAACACAACTAAATGAACTAGCAAGGTTATAGTGTCATCTATACTGTTGATGGTCATGCCTCTTGGGAACAAATCATGCCCAATATTTTCCGGGTAGAACCCCAAAAGAGAGGGTGCCAAATGTAACAAATAAAGGCATGCAGGGTCTTACTGTAGCTAGCATTTTATATCTTGGGCGTGCTTCTAAATTTACAGGGTGTGTCCATGTCAATTGCCTTGAATAGCCAAAAACACAATTCCAGCTATGCTTATCAACAATAGATTATACATGTGGTTGTTCTATGCTTTTCAACCAAATACAAGGCAAGCATATGCTCAAATTTTGCACTGACATCATAAATCATTTTAACAACTCTTGGCACATTTAAAGCCATTTTAACAACCATATGGTGCACATCATCCATCAAAACATCACTTTTACCAATCTCAACAACTACAGTAGACTTTACAAAGAAATTCTGTATGTTGTAAGTAGCAACACCTTATTTTATGAACCTAAATGCACACCGCCAAAAATAAATAATGAAGCCGCGTTAATTTCATCTAGCCATGTTTTTACATTTTTGGCCGCGATAACATGGCCAACACAGCCTTCTAGCTAAGACCCTGAAGGCATGTTTTGTTCATTTCAACTTGGAATCTTTCATGCATGACATAAGTTGTTCCATATTTATTGGTTTCAAAATATGTGATTTTCCTACTTCTCATATGGAATAGCCCTCATGCAGACAAATTGTAGTGCACAGATGAATTGTAAGAAAAATAATCTCGGGCTTGTTTGTCCAAATTTGTCCTGACTGATCATCCATCCAATATTGTACATGTAATTGGCCACGTCCTTATTAAAGTTGTGATGCAAAACTTCAAATTGACGTCTTTTATCCAAACCCACCCACCAAGACTTGAAAACATCAAGTGGGCATGAAGTGTGCCATTCATTTTGCCATGGTAAAAATGTCACACAAACCTATCTAAAATATGGCCATAGCCCCTAAAATTCAGCTCAAATAGATAAAATATGATGCTTCTAGATAATTGCAATTGCCTAAAGTGCATCCTATAGATACTAATCATCTAGTGGTGACAATGTACACTTAAAACACAAAAAAACCAGGAAGATGTGGGCACCCTGTTGTCATGGACTACCATATAAAAATAGCAAAGCAGCAGGAATTCTAGTCATGCAAGATGATCTATAAAATATAAACTATATACCGGTACTATCATTTCATTTCAGAAGACTGATACCACTGATGCAAATATCAGGCCTATACATGTCTCAGCTCAATGTAATTAATTAAAAAGTGGGTTTTGTTGTAGTATTTTGACATGCATAGATGTTGCAATCATCGGCAAAAATAAAAAACCTTTGTACAAAATTCCAATTCCACCTGCTGCAAATAAACAGAGGGAGCGAGTGAGAAAACCGTTTAGGATAAACCTTTCCCAGTACGAAATTTAATGGCTGCCACTTCGCTGGCAAATAAAATTCAAAGATATCAGAGTTAATATTTATGAGAATATATAGGGTTTTAAACGATAAATCGATATAAAGCCCTGATATTAAAACCAAAAGCGAAGTGAACAATAACATTAAAAAACCATGATAATACACATACGCAAAAATATACCCAACATTATCTTGTGATACACAAAGTCAAAATATAAAGTTATGTACCTTATTTATATCGATCTTAAAGCTTTCGGATATTTTGGCATATAATTCTTTGACGTTTGTAAATCCTTGAATTTCACAGGTCGGGCTGCCGTGAGCAAGTTGACAATAAAATATAAACTTTGGCGGCGTTTTGCCATTTGTAGCTCCCTCTGCTTTATCGGGAAGTTTTGGTGGAATTTTAGCTTGCTGTTGATGGCCATCTTTTTTGTTATCTTTTGAAATTTCAGGCGCTTTTGCTGCTGTTTGTTGCTCTGACGCTGACGGATTAGACTTGTTTGCAGTGTTCTTCGGTGGTCGTGGCGGTGCTGCCACGGCGGGATTCGCGCCGTTTTCGGTATTTGCTGGCTCGACTTCCTTATCTGTCTTATCATAACTCTTTTTACTTAAATTCCCACTTGTTCCCTTCTTAAATAACGGCATATTGCCACAAAATACACCTACTTTCTTTGGACTTCCGTAGAAGCAATCGAACGCTATTCAGAAATTAGAAACATTAATTTGCATTTTATTTTGTTACCAGATTTCTCCCCCGATGTGACGTCATTGCTAGATGGCGAATCTAGGGGGTGATTGTAAAGTATACTTCAAAATCAGGCTTCAAAATACTGCAAGGTTTCCGTTTTTATAACGTAGAAAAAACTATCCTAACGCAAAACTAAACCCTAATATTAACCCTAACTTATTTAAAAAATTGATATAAAAACGGAAACCTTATTTTGAAGTATACTATCTAGCAATTGCCATAAAGGGTGAATCTAATGGCCAAGGGAAGCGAAAAATTGTTTTAGATTATGAATATATATAAAATATATATACTGTATAAAATAAAAATTTCGTTTATTATGTTAATCCACGAGAGGGGGTCTCAGCTCCCCTTTTTAGGAACCCAGGGGGGCGAGTCCCCCTTGTCAAGAATTTCATTCTGATTTGTAAGCACTGACGTTTGCAAGGCTGATGGGGGCTTGACTTCCCAACGTTCTTTGCAACTGTATTGTTGAAATGATTCCTATAACAATGATTACTATCACAAAAGTTAATATTATATAAGCAGTACCAATAAGCTAGCTAAGGCTCATTTACAATTAAAAAACCAACCCGGGTTAGAGCTAACCCAGGCCTGTTTTAATATTATAAAACGAGCTTATAATTCTAATTAGGCGTAAACCTCATTTGTATAACAGTGCATCTCTTTTTATTGTTTCTCCTGCATAATTATATGCAAAAAGTAAGCATAGGCATAATTGCTGTTTCTTTTTGGTTAGTTGCCAAGGGAGGATACAAAATACAGGAATTCAATACCGTATCGTAACACATTAAAATTATTCCCAGTTTTATACCTTATTCTTTCGTCCCTATGTCCGTCTCTTAGTTCTTTCTTCCTGTATTACATTTCAAATATCTAAATTATTATATATATATATGAGAATTTATCAAGAAATCTGCATAGTTACATATATGTATAAGGTCAAGAAGAACATCGCTTATATACTGTAGTTAGGTTAAAACCGTATTCTATTTAACAAAACACCAAGTTGAAAAATTTGTCTCACAAATTAAGAATAGTGACAATATATAGTTATTCATTATTTTTTAATTGTTATTATGAAGGTTCCACTTTTCCTCGCCATTTCTCTCCATTTATATCCCGGTATGGTCCCAGATTGCAAATGAACAAGGCATGACCTTTCTTATCCCGACATTCATAATTTCTTGCTTTCTCGGAGGTGCATCTTATACATATAAATTCTAAGGTATCTCCAATACGCGAGTGAGCAAACAGACAATCAATGGGTGGCTTATTAGTAGTATGCAGCCAACATTCCATAGACTTTAGCGCTCCACGTACACGAACACCGTGACGCATTCGACCTTCTTTATCTATATACTGTGGTTTAAAATCCATACGCCGTCCGCTCTTTTCATGTTTACCCGCAAGCGGTCTCCAGCCCGCTCTAGGGGGTTTCTCCTTCATGGCTTCGATGTACTCAGAGCTGTCAGGCAGATTATCATAGAAATAGGAAAACGTAGGGTTAGACATACTGCTGTTGAGACTTTTACTTAGATTAGACTTCTGTTGCGGGTCAATATCATCAACGCCAACATAAGGACGGTGGGTTGGACTTTTAGGGGATTCTCGTGCAGGGCTGAGTGGATAGTAGTCAGTGCTGGATGCTGAACGAGATATGTTGTTGTTTGAAGCAGTACTAGATGAACGGGAACGGGGACCAGGTGATACCATGTGATCACTATGCAAGCTATTAGGGAGTGACTGTTGACCCTCTTTGTGATCTTTAAGTGCAGTTGCGTACGATCTTTGGTCTCGCTCGTGTTCTTGTGATACCGACCGACCAAAAGCTATGTCATCCCTTTCACCAACAACATTACTATGAGAGGTTTTAGGCGAGCACAAGGGTTCTGCGTCTGGAAATAGGGAGTACTCGCTGGATACACTTCCTGGGCTCTTTGGATCAAGGGCTATATCACTACCATTTTTCTCTAGGGGTATGGGCTCATCATTATCATGAGGGTTAAAATTCTCCAACGGATCACGATCTGTTAGACCATTCACCAGGCCACTTAACTCTGAAAGATCTCCAGGGTTATTATATGTCGGGGTTTTATACACATTAGGTAAGGTATTATAGGGCCAAGGTGCTAAGGGATATGTGCTGGAACTAAGGCTACCGGGAACAGGCAAACGGTGGGTTAGGTAATGGATACTGGCAAAAGGATTAAACATGTCGTAGGGATCCGCTGTTTGTGGAAGTGGAGTGGGGTATAGACTTAGGATTTGGGTTTGTGTTTCTACATCTGTCATATTCACCGTAGTTTGCGTATGTTTATCATCGACGTTATTTGCATGGCCATTGGAATTGGTAATTACGTGATTGACAGCGGAAAAATTCGTATCAAGTTGAAAAATATCTGTACAAGAAACGAAAAAGGATTAAATGTGTCTGAAGACAGGGAAAAGAAATAATTTTACATTTTTTCATATAATTGTCAAATGATTTTTTCTGTGTTGGTGTTGTGTACTCAGGTGAATATGATGTTTGCGATGTTACTCTGAGTGTATATCCACACCGGGCGAGCTTGAAAAATATGCCCGGCCACGGTGGGAATCGAACCTACGACCTTTGGAATACTAGCCCAATGCTCTGCCAACTGAGCTACGCGGTCAGGTCGGTTCGAGTAAGGGACGGACCATTTGATTTTTCATGGGGGGGG